TTTCCTAAAATGAAACACTTATTCATCTAAAATGTTAATGTAAGCTTTAATAATTTTTGATCTACACTTATTTGCTTACAATATTTATTAATTAATTTAAGTCCATATTCAATATTATCGTGGGTGTGCAAAAATAAAAAAAAAAAAACAACACAAAATTTCTCTTTTCCGCCGAAATTTGAAAATTTCGAACTTTTTGATTTGCTTATTTATATTATTGTTATAATTATTATTTTTGTAATAATTACTGTTATTATTATAATTGTTATTGTTATATTATTAATTGTTATTTTTAGTTTAATTACTCTCATTACTGTTATCATTTTGTTATTGTTTTCGTTTTTAATTTTTTTTTTTGATTTAGTTAATATTGAAATCGAATATTTATTGATTCATCCGGTCAAGGAACTCAATATTATTTTATTTGTTTGTCATTTTTTTTTTTGTTGATTTATTTTTTGAAGAGAGATTCTTTTTTGTTGTTTTTATTGTATGTTAATATTTCTTGTTGAATTTCGGGTTCAAATCGGTAATATGAAAATGAGAATAGTGTGAGAAAAAAAAAATAATATTGCGAAAAATTATGTTTTTATACAAAAAACTTATGCATACCTACATATGTATGTACATATATAATGCATTTATGAACAATAAACAAAAACATGAATTTTGTAATTGAATGTTTTTTTAATAATTTGAGTACTTATACTCATTTAGAATGAAATTAAGTATGTGACTAAATGAGCGTAAAAGGTTTAAAATTACATAAAAATTCTTAGAATTTAACAGGTGATTAAATTATTTGTGGTGTTTTGCATATTTATCAGCATATATGCATGAATGTATATTAAAGTATGTACATATGCGAATTGATTTATGTTTTTGTTAATTATGTACATATTTATCTACATATTTATAAAATTATTTATATGATATCATATAAAATTTTAGTGAATTATTTGATATTGTTATAGAAGAGTTGAATAACACTTCCAAATAAACTGACTACAACACATAACTAAATTAAATGAAATTCCATTCTCATAATGATAATAATCATAATAATTATAATAAAGTATAAATATATAATGTATGTATGTATGTCAAAAACAATATCCGTTATAAAATTCAGGCAATTGAACTTTAATTTGTAGGTGCAAATGTATATATTTGGGCCTAATAAAAAAAACATAGGTACCTGTAATATGAATGAAATTTAAATATTAAAAATTAATATTTTTGTTATTAAATTAAAAACTAATTTTGTAATTAGTAATCAAAAACTTACATGTTAATATTAATTTTTAAGCATTTGAGACATTAATTTTAATTAAATAAAAATATTAAAAGCCTCTATTGAGAAAAATCGTAACAATCTAAGTAAGTACTGCTTTGTAATTGAGAGTAAATATGAAAGCGTTTATTTTCACTCTTTTCCTGAAACGTAACAAAATTTTATGGTCCTAATTTATAGTTTGACATTATAAATTTATTTTGATTACAATTCAGTTCTTTTCTAAGCACCACTTAGCATTTTCTCTGGAAAGTAAATAATTTTATTGATTTAATCTTTAACTATATATGTATACTTATTTGTAAATCAATAAATTGAATATAAATTTGATTGTTAGACATTGATTAAAAATTGAAGATTAAAATAGATATGTTGTACATAATATACATATACATAATGTGTATATTTACTAAATATATGTATGTGGAAGAATATATTGAAAAAATGTTTGCTTTCAAATTTAAATAGCAATATTTCATTTAAATATTTGTGTGAGTTTAATAAAGTTTTAAGGGATTTAAATTTTATCAATAAAATATCAACATCAGATGGATTGTCTCATAGCGTTTAACCTTAAATCTTTAATAATTTGTAAATGTTAATTAATTTTCTAAATTTATTAAGCAATTATAATTGCTTAGAGAAAAATGATTGATAATTTTATTCAACTACATAGACGATAGCCTACTTTATGTGATTAGTAATTCTATAAGACAATAGATGGGGCATTTAAAACATTGAGAAAATGATAATTTCCATAATATTGTATTGTAATACAATATAATTGTATAGTGTCACCCGACTCTTTGTCAATTGTCAAATTTTCACTTTAAAATATTTAAAATTAAATAATATCTTAATGTTCCAAAAATTTAATAATAAATTCCCAATAATTTTCTATTATTTAAAGTGTCTTACATTATGTTTGCCTGTATTTTTATATTTTTATTTTAATTGCTGCATATTAAATAATTAATTTTACCACAATTTAACTTAGAATTCTTATATTCAAGAAATATAATACTAAATATTTCACATAAATATATTTAATATTAACATGTACTCGTACATATGATATAGTTCATAAGGAATGAATTCAATATGCTATTTAAACAAAAAAATATTATTCGCTGCGTGACCCGGTATAGTGTGTTAATAATCACCAATTTTCATGTTTATCTTGTTTGCTACTATTGCAGCTACCTAAACTACATGGTGCTATTATATAACATTATACATACATATTACATACATATGTATGTATGTAAATTCATAAAATTGTAAAAAAAAAGGGAAAAGGAAAATGCTTTATAATGATAATTTTAAATTTTTGGTGACTTTAGTCACGTTTACACGAATATGTCACCAAAAATAACAGATGGCGTGGTGTCAATGATTTGTTTTGATTATTTGATTATTTTCATATTATTTTTTGATTATTATAATTGGGTTTTTATAATTGTTTTGGACGGAATTTTTAATTATCGTAATTAATTTTAAGTATATGAAATGAATGACAGATCAAATCTAATCAAAATGAAATGAAAATGTATGAGTTATGCAAAAAATGAGCACAAAGTTTAAATTAAAAACGTATTTTTAATTTAACAAACTATTTTAATTATTATAACAGCAGTTAACCTTTCTACAAAAAAAAGATTTTTATCTTACATATTCATTAAAAATTTCTTAAGGACAAAGTGCCTAGCTGGGTTAAGGATAACTTTTTTTTTACCTGAATATTTAAATTTCGCATTTTAAATATTTTTGGTACCACGTGTCTGAGAACAAGCGTTTGTATTTTTCAAATCAAATTAATGAACAGGTGCAAACACAAGAAAATTGAGAGAAGAAAAGAATATTAGTTTTGTTTGTTTCTCTTCCTGAATGCAATGCGTTTAAAGGACTTGAAAAATATTTATTCTAATTAGATTTTTATCGTAAAATCTTTTCTCTTTTTTTTTATTAGTTTAATTTTTGAACTCGGAGTTTAGGAGGTATTTGTAAATGATAATTTAGTTTATTATATTGGAGAGTATTCTTGAAAATCTTAAAGGCTAATAACATACTTTAAATTTAAGACATAAGGAAATTTAGTTATTTTCTCTAATAAAAAATATTCCAATATTTAGTTAATCATAAAATTAAAATTTTTGCATTCAATATGAAAATACTTGATAAAACGTTAAAAATTCTTATCAAATTCAAACAAGTTTACGTATGTATGTACAACTACGTACATACATGTAGAATTTTATTTCCGTGGTCAAGAGGTCTGAAGTTTCATTTAAGAATTTAAAAATATATTTAAATAAATTAAGATAATTGAAAAATCTTATTTATTTTTTAATAAATAAGTACAAAACCGTTCTACAGTATAATTATCTAACAAACATAAATACATACACACATCCATAGGTATACATACATAAAAAGTAAAAACGTGATTATTGATTAATTTCTCTTGGAAAAAAATTTTTTTTAAATTATTCGTGATTATTTTAAAATTTGCTTTCTGTTATACAAATGTGTATGCATACTTATATACATACATATACATATGTACGTATGTACATATCTGTATGAATTTCTATACTCAAGTGCGTGCCATGGCATAAAAATTTATAATACAATAAATACAGTAAAATTTAAGAATTTAACGTGATGATAACATAATTAACCGCAGGCTGTGCTGTACTATTTTTTTGGGTGACACTAATAGTGGTATTGTCAATTGTATCAAGTCAGAAAAGAAGGTAAAAAATTGGTTCTTAATAAATGTAAATTTTTAGGATCGGGTTTCCTTAATAATTTCAGAATATTCGGCATTCAATTTCTTATTAAAAAAAATATATCAGAAGTAAAATATACAAAAAGTACTCCAGTCTCAGTTACTATGCTGTGTTCAATTATTAATAGTATTTATGTATATTTGATAATCCCCTATATACATACATACATATGTAGGTGTAAATTTTCCTCTTAGAATATTATTTTAATAATAATTCCACAAGATCTAAACACTTAACATCTTCTTCTTTCTGTGCGTTACATTTCCTAGTATCTAATCCCAGTATCTATGTAGTAAATTTTATACAAACATATGAAATTATTTTTGTTTATTTGAAAAACGGCTCTTTTGTTCTCTTCTCTTTTTCATGCATATAGGCAGTGATATTTATAATATATATTATATATTTACGTACATACATAATATAGAATGAGATTTGTGTATGTTGTGCAGACTTTATTTTATATTAATAATAATATAATCTGGCTGGCTGACTAGTGTGTACGATTGTGCTTATAATATTATCTAGTTCTAGTAACAAAGCAGATTTATTCGGAATATACTTGGTTATAAATATTTTTTTTTTATTGTTTTCTTTGTTATTTTATTTTTCCTTTCATTTTTGTTATACATAATAATTATTCTTTCAATAATGCCATGCCACACATTTATGTGTGCGCTAAGTGCTTTGATTTTTCTGTTTTGTCTTTACTGTAAATATACCGTATCGTAAATTGTATGAATGTATAACACATTTTATGTAAGTATGAGTTTTACTGTTGTGCTGCTTTGTTGCATAGGTTTTTTTTTATGCTCGTTTCTTTATTTATTTTTATTTTTATGTTCACTTTTTTGAACAGAGAAATAAAAATTTTTTGTTTTAATCAAACACAGGTCAGTTTTATTCTGTCTTTTAAGAGTGAAGTTGCTTAAGGCGTCTATTAATTTTTAAATTAGAAAAAAAAAATTAATTATTATCATCGAATTCCGCGCTTTTTATTAATTTTTCTAATATAAATTTATTATCAAATCGATTTGAATTTCATAATTTATCGAAAAAAAAATTTTGTGTTTTTAAAAATTCGAAATTTGATAATAGCACAATAAACAAAATATCGAACGAAGTGTGAAGAACAAAATTTTTTTTTGTTAATATCGTAAAAAAATAAACTTGCAAAATATAAATACACATACATAAATATTTTACTGTTATAAAAGTTCAGTGAATCTGTGCAAAATTTAATGGTAAAGAAAATAAACAAAGGAATTTATATATGTAAGTATGTATGTTCAGAATTTGTAAATAGATAGCTAAGATAGGGCAATTTTAGATGTGTAGATCGTATTTATGTACAATTTAGGTATAAAAGGAGGAAAGAGTAAATATGTACAATTTAGGTATAAAAGGAGGAAAGAGTAAGAAATCGATTTTTTTTTTTTTTTTATACAAAACAAGTGAATACGCACTAACCGGCTGTATAATGACATACATATGTACATACATATGTATATTAAAATTGTTATAGCGCTTTGTATTGTGTTATAATAAGACCTTGAAATATTAAATAGTACAACAATAATAAAAAATTCTTTGATATTATAATAAAGACGGCAAATTATACTGATTGATTACTATTTTATGACGTAATTGTTATACTATTCGCATTTTAGTATATATGTATATCTACAATGCGATATTTTATTTCATGACATTATAATATTTACAGTAATTGTTAGCAAATGGTAATGGAATTGAAATTTTTACTTGAAATCTCTTTAATCTTACTTTTATCACAGTAATTAATTTATAATAATTATAATGCAAATTATAATGAGGTACATATGTATGTATATATCAGTATAACCATGTACATATATATTTAATTAATTTTGGAATTTATTAATAATATAAGTGAATTGAGCGGAATTGTTGCATTTGTTTCTTGTTAATAGCCATATAAATTTGTTTTACGATATTACAATAATACATTTATATAGTAATTAACTAAATATAACTACATACATTTACATACATATGTAAATGTACTCCGAGTAATAGTTGAGAGTTGTTTTGCAAATGGAATGCGTATTTGCATAATTTAGTTAAAACAAATTAATAAAAACTTATGATATTAAGGATTTGTATTAATTTTGTTTATAAACATATAAAAACCATCTACCTGAAGAATCCGTTATGTCTATAGTATAATGAACGGTTGGGGTAGTATTTCCATTATAAAGCATATAAAGTGTTATACAGTTGCTTATAAAAGGATTGCAAACAATTTTTTTCAAAGGTTTTTTCTTTTCTATTTTCAGTTTTTAATAGGTATTTAGTATTTCGACTGTAATTATGATATTGGTAAAAATTATGCTTTTATATGGGTCAATAAACTTTGTGACATTGAACTATATGGTTATAGGTATTTTGTACAAAATAAACATTAATACTATCATGATAGTTATAATTACTATCACGATGATTCATTATTGCATAGTGTGGTTGCACAGTAAATTTGACAAGCAAATAATTTAATTTAAAAGTGGTATTTTTCGGAAAACTCTAAATAATTTGTTAACCTGCTTAGGTTCTTAGGTAACCTACTTAGTATCTTATCCACTAACCAAAGTTATATAATTTTTGAATGAAATTTTGAATGATAGTGTTAAACGATCGTTTCAAAGAACATTTAATTATTCTAATTATAAGGTGTGGAATTCGAATAATTAATTTGTTTTATTACGCGTTGTAGGTAGTGTATCATGTTTATTATAATTTTTTTTTTTTGCAAGTTTGTTTTATTCAAATCAATAATTTTATTTAATTTAGTTATTTTAATAGAATTTATAAAAATTTAACAACGCAATTAAATGAAATTTTTAAATATTTTTTAAGAATTTCAAAATTGGAAGAATAAATGAATAAGAAATCTTTACGATAAATTATTACGATATATGTAAGTAGTCTTATTATTTATGGAAATTACCGTTCATTGTCGTATATGTTGTATACTAATGTAATAAATATAGTATGCATAAATGATGAATATACCCCCGCCTAATTGCATATACATACATATGTATGTATATACACATACTTATTAATATATATATAGTATGTATATACACATACTTATACATATATAAATTTTAATTATTTATTTAAATACTATTCAAATAATATGCATGAATTTTTACTCTACCTATTTTTTTAATTTTATATTTTTTGCGAATTTAATTTGCGCATTTTCTTTTTTAATATTACTAAGTAAACTTTTATACATTTTGTACTTATTATGTTCGAAAATATTTCTAAAATATTTTCAAACTATGTAAGCACATAACGTAAATTATAGTAGTGCTAATGTGGTATGTTTATTAGGAATAGTCAAATTATTTATTATAAACAATAATGACCTTGTAATATAAAAATCAATATACGCATATAATACAAGTACCAGTCTGTACAGAATTAGTACAGACTGGTACTTGTAGGTAAACATCAATTGATTTTTGCAAAACTGTAACAACTCAGAAAAATGTAATATTCCAGTTAAACATAAAAATTTGTTCAGAATAATTTTTCTATTATCAGATGGATGAAAATTCTTTTAAGGCGTAAAGCGAACGGATGGCTTGGTTATAAATATTTAATAAACTTGGTTTAAAATATTTTATCCGGTTTTTTTTTTTTTCCGGCGGTTTACGCTATCTATTTTTGCTGGAATTTTAATTTGAAAATTAACAAAATGCGCAACTGACTGTCTTGTTTAATTTCAATTTGAAAACTAACAAATTGAATATTAACATATTTGGAGTTGTTACAATTTTGTAGCAAATTGGTATATGGAGCCGATATATGTATGTAGGTTGAAGAACATGCAATTATATTCGAATTTAACTTATGATATCGTAAATTTAATTATGAATTGTGTAGATTCTATTATTGTTAGGTATGTTGAAGAATTTTTTAATTTTAATATTTTCGTTTTTTACTTGAAAATTTATGAAGGGAAAAAAAAATTTGATTAATATGTTGATAACCTTGCAATTATGTACTTTTTATCTACATTATATAACAGTTTTATTTTTTATCGTTTTGTTGCTTTTTTTTTAATTTATTAAAATGAATTTAATTTTGATTAATTGTTCTTGATTTATATATTATTTTTTCTGTTTTATGTGAAATGATTTTCCGAAAATCATTGGTGGGTGAAGAAGAATTTTAAAAATTATTTTTATTAAATTAAGAAAAATTTTTATAATCAATAGTGATGGTATTGTATACACTGTAAAAAATTGGTTGAAATAATTTTTTACTATAATTTAAGGAATTTAGTTGATATGACAGGAAGCTTTTTCTTTTACCATATTAAAATTATAAATTTATGGTAAAATTGAAGAAAAATATTCTACAATGAGCGATTGGGGTAGTACTTCCATTATGGAATGGAATGTAGAATCACTGAAAATGAGAATGAAATGGACTAATATTTCCTCTTAACCGGTGAAAATTTCGTAGAGAAATATAATTTTTACAGTAAATTTACTCTACAGTTCAATTTATTCTAATTAATTATAATTAATCGTATAAAATTTTAACCTCATCATGGCACTTTTACTGCTACAGACAAGTTAGTATTTGAATTTTTTCAATTTTTACGAAAATTTTTTTACAGTGTGTACAATAAAAAAAATGTTGTTAATAAATTTGAAGTTGCCTAATAATGTGAAATGCAAGTGGGCAGGCAAAGTATACTTGTGGTTTCCAATTAATTGTTTTCTTGTTAAAATTTTTACATATGATACTTTTCCCACCATATTTATTGTGCTTCTCTTTTTTTGTTAAACAAATTTTGATAAGTAAATTTCCTAGACTGCTTTTTTTCCCAACTTTTATTTGAAATACAATTTATTATAACAAAATGTTAAGTTTGAAACATAAAATATTCATAAAAATAATTTAAATGGAGTTTTTATAATAAAATTTAAAGTGATTTTTGAGAATGTTAAAAATTTTTTAAATTTTTTGAAAACTTTCTATGCCTTGTTACTTTAGCTAGAGGTTTTTTATGGTCATGTCATGTACATATATTTAATTTTGGTTCGATTAAAAATGTAATTTTGTAATAAAACAAATGTGTCATAAAAGTGTGTAATAAAATCAAAACCAAACTGAGTAAGTCTTCTGTTTTGAACAATTCTTTTTCTGTTTAGTAATTAATTTAACCTCTTCGTATAACAGTTTCTAAAATTATTTTTAAAAATAAAATTTAAAATTTAAATAAATTAATTATTATAGTCTTTTTTTTAAATTATAATGCATAATTAATTTATGAAAATAAGATTAAATAACTTCAAGAATCACATAACCTCAATTTCTTTAATTTGTAGAATGCATTATAATTATTACATGAACTATATTAAAATAAAATGTCATAACATGTCGATCATTCAAATTACATAAATTCTATATTTACTTACAATTCATACAAATGCATACATATATATAGTTCTATTTTCCCCCTTATTATTGAATTTCATCAAAGAAAAACAAGTCAAACAGTAAGTTCAAACTGGAATACAAATAGCCCCATTAAAGAAGACTGAGATAAAAAGAACAAAATATTAAATCTATTTTTTCTATTGAAAAATAAAAATAACAACATCGATTTTAAAATATAAGTATAATACTAACCTATAAATGGTAGGAAATAAAGAGAATGCATAAAAAATTCAAAAAAAAAAAGATCAATTTTGTTATAAATTATTGTTTAGTGTGGTGATAATAAACCTTATCTGACAGCTACAATTATCAGCTTTCAAAGGAGTCTTTCAAAAAATCTAAAACGTTCAATATATTTTGTTATTTTTCTGTTATTCTCTTCCTTTGGCTCCCTTGCTTTTATTTATAAAATTTATTCTTATTTTGAAATTTATGGACCATCCATCAAAATTTGAATTTGTTCTTGTTTTTCTGCTTTTGTACACTTTGTTCTTCTTCCAAGTTGTATTTTAGACTTTAGTTATGAGTATTTATTACTATTTTTTGATGATGTAAAGAAACAGCAGCACGCTTCTAAATTATTACTCGTTTTTTTTAATATATGTACATATATATATGTACACATCTACATACGTATACGTATATGAATGAATTCTAAACAAAGAAGACTTTGACAGCTTTGGCTATAAAATCTAAAAAATAAAAAAAAATGATAAAAACGCAATATTAATAAATCAATACTATTATACACATACATACGTCTGTTAGCAACAT